ACATTTTATTAATTTGATCCCAAAGGCAAGGGAAGTAAAGGCAAAAATAAATGAGTGGGACTATATCAAAGTAAAAAGTTTCTGCACAACAAAAGAAACCAACAATAAAACAAAAAGGCAACCAACCAAATGGGAGATGATATTTGCAAACAACAGATTTGACAAGGGGTTAATATCTAAAATATGTAGAGAACTTATACAACTCAACACCAAACAAACAATCCAATTTAAAAATGGGCAGAAGAGCCCTAACTGGTTTGGCTTGGTGGATAGAGCGTCGGCCTGCAAACTGAAGGATCCCAGGTTCGATTCCGGTCAAGGGCATGTACCTTGGTTGCTAGTACATCCCCGGTAGGGGGTGTGCAGGAGGCAGCTGATCGATGTTTCTCTCTCATCGATGTTTCTAACTCTCTATCCCTCTCCCTTCCTCTCTGTAAAAAAAAAAAAAAAAAGACACTTCTCCCATGAAAACATACAAATGGCCAAAGATATATGAGAAGATGCTCAACTTCACTAGTTATTAGGGAAATGCAAATCAAAACTACAGATACCACCTCATACCTGTTAAAATGGCTATTATCAACAAGACAGGTAATAACAAGTGTTGGAGAGGTTGTGGAGAAAAAGGAAACCTCATTCACTGCTGGTGGGAATGTAAACTGGTACAGCCACTATGGAAAACAGTACAGCAGTTCCTCAAAAAGAATAGCGTTATTAGCCCAGTGTGGCTCAGTGGTTGAGCGTTGACCCCTGAACCTTGAGTCCACAGTTCAATTCCCAGTCAGGACACATGCCTGTGTTGCTGACTCAATCCCCAGTGGGGGTAAGGAGGCAGCCAATCGATGATTCTCTTATCATTGATGTTTCTCTCTATTCCTCTCCCATCCTTCTCTGAAATCAATAAAAAACAGTTAAAAAAATACCATATGACCCAGCAATCCCTCTCCTTGGGTGTCTACCTGAAAAACTTGAAAACATTTATTCAAAAAGATATAGGCATCTCTATATTCACTGAAGCATTATTCATGGTAGCCATGTCTTTATGGATACAATCAAAGTGTCCTTCAATAAAGGATTGGATAAATATGTAGTATATGTATACTATGGAATACTACTCAGCCATAAGAAAAGATGAAATACTGCCATTTGCAACAACATGGATGGACCTTGAGAATATTATGCTAAGTGAAATAAGTCAATCAGAAAAAGCTAAGAATCACATGATCTCACTCTTAGGTGGGTTATAAACTGAAACTAATGGACACAGATTACAGTATGGTGGTTACCAGTAAGAAAGAGATTGGAGGATAGTAAAGGGGTCAAATATATGGTGATGGGAGATTATTTGACTTTGGGTGGTGGGCACACAATTTAATATACAGATCATGTATTATAGAAATGTATCCTTGAAACTTATATATGATCTTATTAACCAATATCACCCAAGAAATTAAATATAAGTAAATGTCATGCTAAATTATGCTTTAGCAATTAATACATAATTTAGAAAACATAAAATGTGATTTAAGTAAAATAATTGATACCTTAGAGCAGTGGTTCTCAACCTTCCTAATGCCGCTACCCTTTAATACAGTTCCTCATGTTGTGGTGACCCCCAACCATAAAATTATTTTTGTTGCTACTTCATAGCTGTAATTTTTTTCATAACTGTAATTTTGCTACTGTTATGAATCGTAATGTAAATATCTGATATGCAGGATGTATTTTCAGGGGTCGCGACCCACAGGTTGAGAACCGCTGCCTTAGAGGATGTTTATTTCCATATTTTCCAATGTCAAAGATATTGTCATCTTAATGAAATATACAGACATTTCCCAAAATGTGAACCTGAACCTAGAAGATATGAGATAATAACATCATTACCAAGTTACTGCCTTTGCAATTCTCCATTTGATTATCTGAAAGTCTCCATTTGGTACTAGTATGTTTTTAATATCACTAATCTGCTATTAAAATTCTCCCTTTTTTGCCCTAGCCGGTTTGGCTCAGTGGATAGAGTGTCAGCCTGTGGACTGAAGGGTCCCAGGTTCCATTCCGGTTGAGGGCACATGCCTGGATTGTGGGCTCGATCCCAAGTAGAAAGCATGTAGGAGGCAGCCAATCAATGATTCTCTCTCTCTCCCTCTTTCTCTTTGAAATCAATAAAAAAAATACATACTAAAAAAATTCTCCCTTTTTAAAGAGTCAGGCATTAGGCTCAGAGCCTTGGAAAGGGTGCATAATCTAGGCAGAATACAATATACAGTTATATTTGTGATTGCCTTTTAATGACAAGAAACTGATTTTCTACTTATAATCATAAAATGACATTTAAAAAAATCTGCATTTAAAAAGATCAATTTAAAGAATATTCTAATTATATATCATATGTGAAGGCAAAAATAAGTTGAGTTGGCTGAAATCGAGGACTGAAATTTGGGAAACAGTGATACAAGGAAAGAGGCCGAGCCCAGGGAATTTACTGCTAACCCGTGATCTCCAGCAGAGTGTATCTGTCTCTAATGAGAACAGTATGGCTAATGTACATTGTAGAATTTGGTACACTTGACTTTTTCCATGATTTGAAAGTAGTTTTAAAAACATTGCCCATTGGCTGTAGTCTCCCTGTAACTCCATTCCTCTTTGAAGTCAATAAGCCTGAAGCAGAGAATCCTGGATCTGCAATTTTCTTGAAAAAGAATTGGACCATTTTAGTTGACAGAAAAAAGTCTGTATTTATCACCTCTTATCAGTGTAGTAGGCACTTTACATACATTGTCCCAGTAACCATTACAACAGTGAAGAGCACAATCCCACTTTAGAGATAGGGCTCCAAGCAGTGAAGGAACTTTTGTAATATGAGATAAAAGTTAAGATTAAATATAAAGTTCTTAGTTTAGTGTCTGGAAGAGGTAACAAATACTAAATCGATGGTAGTCATTATTATTGTCATAGTAATTGGCAAGCTCAGGATTTAGCCTGAAGTCTGCTCAATTCAAGCCCATGCTTTTTTATAAGACCATGCTAGGGCCTGTACAACTGCAGAAAAATAAAAAAAATATAAAGATAACCCAAAACGAAGTTAAATTCCTGTATCATTTACTCAACAGATCTTTACTCAGTGTCTATGTTCCAGATGTTATAATCTAGTCATTGCGTATACCTGTAGGCTAGCTTGGGATCCCACAGGTTGCTACACTGCCCTGTTCTCCCCTATCAAACCCATGTGTATAATTTCTGAGTTAATATCTATCATCTGTGTTAAAAACTCTTTAGAGGGATCATGTCTACTGTGATGATCACTTTATTCCCAGTATGTATCATAGTGAACGATATGTAACAAGCTTAAACAGGAAAAAAAGTTTGCATAAAAATCATTAGTTTATATATATATATTAATGTTTCCTCCCAAGAAACACAAATTGAAAAAAAGGAATCCTCCATTTTATATGCATGGTGTCACACAAAAAAATGTATACACACTTTAACAGCTGATAGCTCAATTTTGAAAATGAAATGTATTTTAATAAACATTGCCTTTGTAATTATTCAAAGTGTGTGTATACATTTTAGGGGAACACCCTATATATGATCCCAGCTGTTAAAAAAAAGACTGAAGGAAATTTTTCAAATGTCTTTATGGGTGGTGGGATTGTCAGTATTTATTGTTTTCCTGTATCTACAGTAGTAGAAAGGAGAATATGAGTAAAATCTAATGCCTAAAATCAACCTGTAAAGTCTACAAGGAGTGAACATAAACATACAGATGTTTATAATTACCACTTACAAGATTATCTGCTTTCATTCTCCTTACCCCTCCTCTACAAAATTGAAAGGTTTGTGCAAGCAGGGGCTTAGGGATAGCATGCCCTTCTCCCAAATCCTTTAGTAGAATTATGAAGTGGCAATTATATCCCACAGGGAATCTCAGAACCAGATCCGGAGGGAATTGGCACAGGCAGCCCTCTGCTGGGGAAATAAGAAAACGCAAACACCTCAAAGGCTCTTGGTGAACTGTAAAGGGCACTTAGGGCCCTTAGGGCAAGAGAGCTCTCAAAAGGTATTCGCTGAAAAAAATGAATTTTTAAAGCTAAAAAGTCATTTTGAAAGTTGAAAGTGTGAATGTTTATTTTGGTAAATCTCGAGTACCTGTTTAAAATCTCTGAGCCTCAATTTTTCATCTGTAACGCACAGAAATGTCACATAAGGTCATTTTGAAAACAATGTCAAAATATGCAGCAGACAGTAAATGCTTAATAAGTGACAGCCATTATTTTAGCTTTTACTCACATTTCATAATCTTTGCAGTAATCATTTTACCTTTTGGAATAAGTTCTCCAGTGTTTGCAAAGAAGGACTCTAAAGAATCATAGAAATTACAGCTAAGAAAAACCTGTGTGTGTGTGTGTGTGTGTATTTAAAAAGCATGGTAGATGGCTAAAAACCATGAAAACAAACTTTGAGATTTGTTCACTGAAAATGTTTATTAAGGTGTTAACGTTTTATCTAGTTGACTCAGTATTTGTATAATTTAAAACTCTGAGTTGCCCCTGAATAATCCAGATGTCTACAATATAGACATAAACTACCATGCTTCCCAATACTTAACATACTCAGATTTCTCTCACTTCCATTAACCTTTCAAAGTTACACTCTTTGAGTTCACAAATTCCTCTCTCTCCAAGTTTTAAATTGTTTAAAACTTCTTAAAAGAGGAAGTTGAAACTCCCAAGTCGACAGCCTTAATCTGCCACACCCAATGTGTCCACATAACCAAATAATCACAATGAACACTTTAAATATCTTACAATTTGTTGGGGTCCAACCCCAGCAGGTCCAGGGGTTCCCAAAGGTGTGGACGGAGTCGGCGAAGAAGGAATGACACGGAGACAGCGTTTAGTTCATCAGCAGCCTAGCCAGGTTCTCTAGCCAGGATCTCCACAGCCAAGTTCTGTGTTGTTGTTTTTTTGTTTTGTTTTGTTTTTCTTGTTTGTTTTTTTAAAAACGTTTATTTTTCAAAAGAAAAACGGCAACAGCCAATTGGAAACCTACTTATTCTTCAACTCCAATTTCGTTTTCTTTAAATTTAGAAATGACTTACTGATTTACTATTTTAAACAAACCCCCCCCCTTTTCCCCTTTAAGTGTTTACCATCTACTCGTGCTGAATCCTTCCAAGGAGATTGCTCCAGCGTATATCTCCAGGTCCTCGCTTTGCTCCTTTTACCAAAAAATGCAAAACACAATTCCATCGTGCATCTTAAGGGCTCCAATCGTCAAAAATGGGAAGAAGAAAAACCTTTGGAATAGCCAATTAAGTTGAATAAAAAAAAATCCACACGAATGCGGTTTGGTTGGGGCAGGAATCCACTCCTATGTTCCTGGTAATCTGATCCCGCTCCATGAATCCTTGTAATTCATCCTCCCTATCCTATCCACATTATGATTTGAATCCAATGATCCAGCTCCAAGGATTGGATCCAGTGAGCCCTCTCCAATCCAAACCTTTATAACCAGCAAAACCAAAAAAGAGGAGGCAAAATGTTAGATACTGTAATCAAAAAAGGTTTCTGGGGAATGATGAGTTATGTCTGTCATCAGTTTAACAGATGTACATCAATAACTATCAAATTCCCCAAAACAAGTTTCTGAATGGTGTTCAGATAAACTTTAGAAACTTAATCATCATAGAGACTAATTGGAAGAAGCATTTTATATTTACAGTTCAACTGATAATGCCAACACTTGTTACTGTACAGCGTTATTACAGGTTTTGTGGTTGCAAAAAGTTATGTATTTGAAAAGTTTACTGGTATTGTTACCCACCTAAGTCTAAACTAAATCTAATGCTCCCATCTGCAATTTAATTTGTAAATTAAAGTGTTTTAAACATGAGTCAATTATGAATATTAGTTTAAAGGGGAAGATGATACTTAAAAGTATATTCCCAACTAGATTATCTACACCAATATGTTGGAATTCTATAATTTGCTTTCATTTTGTCTTAAAAAAATGAAATAGCAACGCTATATCAGTCACACAGAGGACATGCAGATTTAGCAGTATTGATATTATACTCTATCTGGTTGGAATTAAAGACACCTTGTACCCACATGGACACCGACAGCAGGTCACACATTAACAGTTGTAACTAAGCACTGTGACAAATTAGCCAGTTCTTCCCACATTAGTCCCTATTAAAACAAAAAAAGGGGGGGAAGGGAGCAAAATAAACTGTTACAAATGGGCAATATAATTTTTCCACAATTGCCAAGGTTTAAAGAGCAGAGCAATTGTAGGTAAAGATAACTGCATAAGATGTTTGCAAGTGTTTTAAGGTAGATGCATATATATCATTTTTAACGCTTGCCTTTTAGTATAAGGTCAATACTGCCAATTTCATCTGTGACAATAGCACTTGGAGTCATACCATTGCCTCCATTATTGATCTGATCCTCCTCAATCCTCCTTTTGACAATCCTAAAATGATTGAAATGTGCTCCACAATCCTTAATCCAAAGCATTCTTAATCCATCTCTTCAGATATGTCTACAGAAAGACACATGAAAAGCAAGATAAACATAAGAACTTCCCCAGGTAAGATAACCACAAACACCCCCAACATCCCCGTTCACACAAACCAGAGAATAGACATTTGCACAATATCACAGTCTGAAGAGAATGGAGAATTAACTAAATTTAAACAATCCTGTCTACGACATCACTTAAAATACAATTTATCAGACATGAGGGGAATGTAGATGTTAGGAGCAAGGGGAGATTACACAAGAATGCAACACTTTAGCCCATTCTGAACAAAATAGTTTGAATTAAAAAAATGAAAAGATTGTACTGAGTAAAGGAAAACTGTATACAACATGGGTTCTACAAAAAGTGTCACCAATTATCTTATGTACGAGAGCGAGATCTGCTATGATGGGGAGAATAGCGTGGTGATCCTCTGCTTCTCCTTGGGGAGTAACTGCGACTCCTGCTGTTGCTTCTGCTACGGCTTCTGCTACGACTACGGCTTCGAGATCGAGATCTTCCATAACTTGGACTTCTGGGCCCATCAACTTTAACCCGGATGTAGGCAGTTTCTCCCTATTGAATAGACAGAACTTTCGATTGAAAGATCTAAGCTTTTACCTGTGTTCAGGCATGCTGAATGAGTACAATGTAGCTAAAACCAGAAATCTGGCACTTTACTTGGGCACCCTTGCCTGAATCTTACCTGAAAAAATCCACTGTTAAGACCACTGTATCCAATTCTGGCCAAAGAAAAAAATAAGTGTATAACCTACCTCATGAGATCTAAACTTAGTGTTATCCAGTTTTCGAACTGCATAGGTCATATCTTCTTTCCGTACAAACTCCAAGACACCAGAGCCATCTCGGTAAACATCAGCATAACATACATCACCTGCTTCACGCATGTGATCCTTCAAATCCTGCCAGCTTCCACTTGGAGGCAGTCCAGAGACAACCACTCTGTTCTCAGAGCGCCTGGATGGGGGGCCATAGCGGCCTCGGGGTGCTCCACCACCTCCACCCCAGCGGCCGCTTCGAGGAAACTCGACCCGCAGATGGTATCCATCGTAATCGTAGCCGTCGCGACCATACACCGCATCTTCCGCGTCTCGCGGGTCCTCGAACTCAACGAAGGCGAAGGGTGGTCCTCCGCGGCGATTCTTGAGATCGATGCCGCAGATAGCGCTGTATTTGTAGAATACGTCCTCAATGTCCTTGGTTCGAATGTCTGGAGGTAAGTTACCCACGTAGATGCTACAATCGTTGTTCCCTGCTGGACCGCGAATCACACCACCTCGGGACATGGCGACGACGAAAGCAGACTGGAGAACAGGCCTTCCCACCAAGCCTAGCGCACCAGAGAGCGAACCTGCAGCAACACCTCGGCTCCTGCGGCCCCTCCAAAATGGCACCTTTATCTACTCCGCACACGGATATCCAAGTTCTGTGTTGTGTTGTCTTGTTACATCTGTATTTATACCAGTTGATTTTATCCTATCAATTTCTATTCCAAAGATTAGGGCATTTATTTCTCCATTCCAGGGAGTAAAGATTATGTAGCTTAAGCGTGATTGTTCGTAGTTAAAGTGATTAACTACCCGCCTGGCACTTAGTTAAGGGGTTTTATTCCCTCCCTAACTTAAGGGAAAAATCCCTACCTGGGGAAACAACCTTTCTCATGGAGGTGGTCCTGTTTAAAACACATAGCGCCAAGAAAGGGAGCAAACATATGCCATATACGCTAGGTCCCTTGAAACATAAGCTGTGCAGATGTTTCTTCCCTGCAGCGACTGTGTCAAGCAGCAAGGGTGGACCGGCTTCTGGCAACAATTTTTGTCAATTATGCCCCATAAAGTTGAAAAAAATTAAAATCACACATGGAAAAAGCCTTAGTCTGAACCAACACTGAGAAGTAAAGCAATGGAAGAGGGTTTTTTATTCATCACTCTGAGCAAAAGCACGAAATATATGTATTACTTCATTTTTCCATAAAGAGAATGAACTTTGTATTTAGAGATATAAAAAATTAGGCGTCGGGATGTGTTTTGGGAGAATGATCAATAAGCCCCTTATCAATTGTTGGTTCCTGAAACCAGGGACCATCACCTCTCGAACGCATTAATCTTCGTACTTCCATCTCCTTTAACCTGTAACAAATGAAATAGCAATATTGTGATTCTAACATTTCCAAATGCAAATTTAATGGATAGAAAACAACCACTAGAGAGCTTTTTGCTTTATGTAAGTATAATGTCCCTCTACAGATCCATGTGTATGCATAAAAATAATATATACCTATAAGCAAAATTTAGGACTTATTTTTGACTTATATTATGTTGTTCATATAACACATATTGTTTTTAATCCCCAAAACATTGCTTGAATTGGTAATCAGTTCTCTCTTCTGTCCCTGCTTTGTCTGGACAGAGCGCCTTCACTTGAATAGTGGTAATGCATTTCCTGTCTTTAATGCCTACGTTTAAGGCCATATGCTGTGCCAAATGCTAGGAATTAAAACATGAAGATGCCTTCTTGGAGGAGCTTACATCCCCTAGTTTATACTGGCTGTCCATTACCATTAGGACAGAAAACCCCTTGAGAGCAGGAATGGTATCTTATTCAACAGCATCACACTAAGTCTGGTCAACATCAGACAATTGGTATTTGTAAAGAAAACAAGAAAGAAAAACCAGGATTAAGAAAAACATCCTCCAACTTAAGACCTACTTACTTGTCCTCATCCTTCTTCACAACTAAATAATCTCTATTCTATAAATATACTTTTCTCTCTTACAGCCAAGCCTTTGTACAAACTACCATATATTCCTAAACAGTCCCTCTCCATCAAACCTTTTACTTACAATTTATAGACTACATATCAACTTTTTCATATGACTATAATTTTATCACATTTAAATAATTCATTTTATTAACCTTAACCACCTCACTAACCTAACCCTAGGAGCATATTTATCTCTTATTTAAGATTAAATATCATCCTTTTCCTTTTCTACTCTTTAGAATATAATTATCCAAAACCCAAGTAATTAAAATATTCACAAAAAGAAGACTGGTTAAATAAGTTATGGTTAGCCCATAGAATGGACTATTCTGTACCTGAGGAAATTCTATCACAGAAGATGATAGATATACCATTAGGTTAAAAAAGCAAGGTAAGAAATCAGTGTGAAGCATCTTCCCATTTCATTAAAAAAAGAAAGTAATCATTTGTGACTATGTATATATGTACACATGCACAAGGTTTTAAAAATCTGGAGGAGCCTGGCCGGTGTGGTTCAGTGGTTGGAGTGTTGGCCCGTATACCAAAGGGTCTTGGGTTCAATTCCCAGTCCTAGTCAGGGAGGCAACCAATAGATGTGTCTCTCTCAGATCAATATTTTTTTCTCTCTCTCCTCTGCCACTCTCTCCCCTCTTTTCCACTCTCACTCTCTCTGAAAAGCAATGGAATAAATATCCTTGGGTGAGAATTAACAACAACAATCTGGAGGCCAAAGATAACAGTTAACTCTGGGGGAGTCAATCAAGGGATAGTTCCTTTCTGTTTTATATCTTTCTTAATGCTTCCATTTTTCAAATACCTAAACATATACTTTATAACAACTGTAGGTACTCCTGATTGCACACTGGCATCTTTCTTTTGGGGGTAGAAGTCAGGGTTTTGGTTTTGGGTTTTTTTTTGTTTGTTTGTTTTTTAATATATTTTATTGATTTTTTACAGAGAGGAAGGGAGAGGGATAGATAGTTAGAAACATCGATGAGCGAGAAACATCGATCAGCTGCCTCCTGCACACCCCCTACTGGGAATGTGCCCGCAGCCAAGGTACATGCCCTTGACTGGAATCGAACCTGGGGCCCTTGAGTCCGCAGGCTGACGCTCTATCCACTGAGCCAAACCGGTCAGGGCTGGTTTTGGTTTTTACTTTGTTTTCAAATTGTTTAGGATCTCTATATTTCTAAAGAATTCTGGGATCTGGTCTTTTAATTGGCACTCACAGGTATATGTCTGAAGTTCAAAGAAGTCCAGTGTTACTAAGTATGAGCTATACTGTTTTTCCATGCTCTTAAATACTTAATGACAGCTGTATGTGGTAACTCTATATATTAGTATATGTAATTACATATTTAGAATATAAGCCAATCATATGTTCTTTTAAATATTATTCAATATCATCAGGTTTTATAAAGTACAAAGATTAAATCAGAATGAACAGAAAGCAGATCAAGGTAGTATGTGGCCAAGAGCAGGGGAGGAGGACTGACTGGAAGAGACAGGAAAGAGGCTCACTAGGTCAGCGAAGCGACCTTGACAGTGTGGTTACATCACTATATACTTTTGTAAAAAGCCCACTGAGCTTAATGTGCACATTTGACTGTATGTAAATTTCACTCCAAACCCCCAAATAAATCTCAGATAGGATCAAATTTAAAAGCAGCAGAAGGAAACTGAGTGACCATTAAAAAAAATAATTTTGGATTTATATATTTACTTATTTAGTTACTATCAGAGACCTGTGCATAACACAAAATCCCAGAAGCTAAAAACCTGACAAATAAGTAAATAAAAAATAATTAAAGCAATGTTACAATGCAGTGTTCAAAACATATTAGCTACTACTAATTTTTATCTGAAACATAAAAACACTTCTACATTGCAAAGCATTCTACACTGTCAAAAGACAAATGACAAACCAGGAAAACATAGGTGTAAGAAAAACAGAAGTTAATTTAACTAATGTATAGATGAGTAGAAAAATGGGCAATTTATAGAAAATGAAATGTAAACAACCAACAGATATATGAAAAAATACTCAACCTTACAAAAATACGAAATGGAAATGAGATAACATTTTTCAATTATCTCATCAAGCAAAAATGTTTAGGTTGATAAATTCCATTGCTAGGAAAGGTATGAAGAAACAGAAATTATCACATACTGGTGACAGAAAAGACAACTGGCACAACTTTTTTGAAGGGTTTAGCAATACACATCTAAAATTTAAAACATGTAAAATGTGGCTTATCAATACCACTGCTAGAAATGTATATTCCAGATATACTGAATAAATATGCAAAAATGTATGTAAGAAATATTCACAGCACGTTGCAGAATATTAAAAAAAACCTGGAAAGAACCTAAGTACTGACAATAGGTGACTGGATAAAAAAAATTGAGGCACATCAATCTAGCAAAATATATGATGCATCCATGAAAAAGAATGAGGCATATACTATCAGAAAAGACCACCAAGGTATTTTTAAGTGAAACGAAGACAGGTGAAGAACCATGTTTAAAGAGGATTCCATTGTGTTAATATGTTTTCAAATGATACATAAAATATATTTTTAATGCATAAAATTTTTTGAGGGGAAAACATATAATGGAAATCATTAAGTAGTGGTCACCTCTAAGGACAGACTGGGTGGAGGAGAAAAAGAAATTGGGGGAGGGGAAGTGGGAGGAGAGGACTGCCTTGCTCTTAGGAGAATAGAATATTTTAAAAAGGATTTTTTTTAATCTGACAGATATTATCTCCTAATTGTTTGTCTCCAGCTCATAGTCTCCACTCTGAACAGGCTAACTCTCACCCATCTTCATTCTTTTACATAGAGCAGCCTATAGCATAGAAATAGTTTTATTAATTTTTTTTCTTATGATTTGACCATACTAAAGGATTTCCTTCCCACCCCCACTTTTTACCGTAATTCAGCCTTTTCAGCTTCAATGTGAAGGATAGCCATTGTTCGCTCATAATTCTTTTCAGGACTATCATAGAAAGTTCGGGCAATCCATCTTGATATAGGATGCTATGGGAGAAAATTTGTGTAAAATTAGTTTCTGAATAGTATTTTGCTTTTCCAGCATACTATTCTGTAAAATGACAATCTCAGATAACCAATAACACTCACCATGTGCCAACTACTTTATCCATTAGCTGCATACTTCCCCCACAACCATTTTATGGAAAACAAACTGCACAAAGTTATAGAGTTACTAAGCAGCAGCAAAGTAACTGTGCTGAGTATCTAAAGTGGCAGATTTAGGAGCTAAATCCAAGGTTTGGTGATCCAAACAAATGGAGCTCTTTCTATCAGTTAGGAAAGATAAACTAATTGTGTGGCTTATATTAAGATTTAATAATGAAGTACTTCTTCCCTAAAATATAATTCACTCAGATAATAAAACATGAAAGGATATGCTCTAATAAGGCCACTCAGTACAACACTTGTAAAGACAAGTAACAATCAATCTTGGATTTTAGTAGCAGTGACAGTGTGGTAAAATGACTAACAGTGCAGGCTCTGGAGTCAAGACCACCTGGGTTATCTCTTGTACAGGTCACTTAATCTCTTTTAAGCCTTAAGTTTCCTCATCTCTAAAGTGGGAATACAGTACCTTTGACATGGAGTGAGATATTTGCAAAACACCACAGTGCCTGCTACACAGTAGGTGCTCAATAAATGACAGCTAACACTAATATTTATAAAATCTTTCCTAGAGTATTGAACTTGGGATAAATTGTGACTGTTAATCTGCTTGTTCAAGAACACACCGCAGTCATCCTTTTAAAAACCATAAAACTTGCTCTAGTTAGTTTTGCGCAATGGTTAGAGTGTCGGTCCTTGGACTGAAGGGTTTTGGGTTCAATTCCAGTCAAGGGCAAGTACCTTGGTTGCAGGTTCAATCCCCGACTCCATGTCAGGATGCATGCGGGAGGCAACCAATTGATGTGTCTCTCTCACGTTGATGTTTCTCTCTCTCTCCTCCCTTGAGTGAGGATTAATAAAATGAATAAATAAATAACCATAAAACTTAAAAATAATACAATGAAGAAAATTACCAAAAGAAGCTCCTTATAAAAAGTGAGCAGAGCCCTAACCGGTTTGGCTCAGTGGATAGAGCGTCGGCCTGTGTACTGAAAGGTCCCAGGTTCGATTCTAGTCAAGGGCATGTACCTTGGTTGTGGGCACATCCCCAGTGGGGGGTGTGTAGGAAGCAGCTGATCGATGTTTCTCTCTCATCGATGTTTCTAACTCTCTATCCCTCCCTCTCCCTTCCTCTATGTAAAAAATCAATAAAATATATTTTTAAAAAATGAGCAGAAAATGTACTCATCTACTTGATATAAAAAATTGAATATAAAACCCTATCTTAATTGCTGAATTAAGACATTAACCAGTGCACTGATAAGACAGCTAACAGAAGGTAACTTGCGGTGATTTACAGTATACTAACCTTGTAATATTCCCAGTGTTCTGGGATATAGCCTTCTGGAATTTCTGCTAACTCAGCTTCACCTAATAAGAGAAAATAGTGATGTTCAACTTCAGCATCAGGAGTGTATAACATTAAGTCTGCACTATGTAAGTAAGAAACGAACCTCTTGCGGCTTTAAAATGACCTTCTATTTATATCAATTAAGATACCTAATATTTTAAATTCACTTCAATATGGTTGAAAATCCATTCATTAGATATGAGATGTCTTCTATATGTAAGACATTATCTGCAGGATTATATGAGAATTTTGCATTTTGTGTTTATACAGTATACCAAGATATAATAAAGACATACTATTCCTTCTGGCTTTACCAATACCAACTAAACAAAATATTCTAGGATTCAAGATATTAGAAGTACTTTGAGCAGAATTTCCTATAAAAATCTAATATTTACTCTCATTCACAATTCCATTCTTCTGTAGATTATAACTTTACTAGAGGCCCGGTACACAGGATTCATGCACTGGTGGGGGGTGTGGCCTGTGGGGATCGGCCACTGTGGGAGCGCTGCTCATCCCGGTCAGTCGAGCGGGAGCGTACTACCACCAGGGAGCAGCTCCTGCGTTGAGCGTCTGCCCCCTGGTGGTCAGTGCACATCATAGTGACTGGTCAACCGGTCGTTCTGCCGTTTGCTCGCTGGGCTTTTATTATATAGGACTAGAGGCCCGGTGCACAAAAATTTGTGCACTCGGGGGGCGGGGGGAGGGGGGTCCCCCAGCCCGGCCTGTGCCCTCTCGCAGTCTGGGACCCCTCGGCAGATAACGACCTGCTGGCTTAGGCCTGCTCCCGGGTGGCAGAGGGCAGGCCCAATCCCTAAGTGCAGCCCCTGGTCAGGCTCAGAGCAGGGCCGATTGGGGAGTTGGGGCGCCGCCCCGTCATGCACAGAGCAGGGCGGATCGGGAGGTTGCAATGCCACCCTCAGTCACGCTCAGGGTAGGGCCGATTGGGGGATTGGGGCACCGCCCCCTGTCACACTCAAGGCAGGGTCGATGGGGAGGTTGCGGCACCACCCCCTGTCAC